AGTTACTATATGATTTGTCAAAGAAAGACAAAACTTCCTCAGGATACTATGCTGTTTATCGTTTTCCATCTTGACACTCATAGACTGAATTTTAAACCTCTGTGGGGAAAGAAATCATGTTTAACAGTGACATCTCTTTGGAGCATGGATATGTTATCAGGTTTGCTGATCTGAAAATCTGTTTTGCATTTTAAGATGATTAAAGAGTCACCATGGGAAAGACATGCTTATTTAATATATTTTTCTCTGTATCCCCATGCTTATACAGGCCGGATTATCTGTACTCACTGATTCAAATAATATTGTGATGTGAGAGTATCTGTACTGACTCCATATAGGAAAAGCAGCTGAGCAGAGACTATGATCTATTTTTACTATTTCTTACCAGGTGATTCTTACTGGGTACTAGTTATCCAGTACTCGGGAGTAGTCCCTTGCCCATACCCTGCCGCAAGTGGAGGATTGCTTCAGCCCTGTGGGGAGGTTGGCAGCAACAGCCAGGAGCCTTGCATGTGGGGGGTCCAGAAGCAGAAGCTGGCCCCCCATATACAGGGCTGCAGGCTCCTTATGCTGCTCCCCCCTTGCGTGGGGAACTGGCAGCAGCAGTCCCATGTGGAGAGGGGTTGGGAGCAGTATCCTGATTCATTGGTTAATCCAGAGATGGGAAATAATTTTTTATGGGGGGCCACTCTAAGATTTTGGAAAGTGGTCAAGGGCCACGCTTGGAGGAGGTGCAGCATTTGGCATGGAGGTTGGGTGCAGGAGGGAGCTTGGAGCAAGGGATTGGGATGCAGGAAGAGGTGTGGGGTCTGGGAGGGAGTTTGGATGAAGGAGGTGGTTGTGACCTGAGGCACTGGACTAGAATGCAGGGGTTTGGTTTGTGACCTAGGGCAGGAGGTTGTTGTGGCCTGGGGCAGAGGACTGGGGTGCAGGGTTTTGGGTTGTGACCTTGGGTAGGAAATTGGGGTACAGAATCTAGGAGGGCGTATGGGTTCAGGAGGGGGACAGAGGGATTGGCTTATGGGGCAGTAGGGGGGAAGGAATGGGGGGGGGGCAGAGAGTTGGGGGGAGGGAGGAGCCACAGTGCCAAAGGCAGGCTCTGGCCTGGAGACTTGCTTGGGTGACTCCAGGCCATCCTGGAGTACAAACTTAGAGGACAGGCAGTCCCCGACTTACGTGGATACGACTTAAG